CAGATGACGACACCTCAGCCAGTTCATTTATCTAGAAGACAGACATCCACAGAGAGCAGTCACCGCGTCTGGGGGAAGGACTGCACGATGTGGGCTGTGTTACCGCTACTGCTGCTCGGTCTGCTGCTACCCGGCTCACCTGTTTACGTTGTAGGTTATCAGGTGAGTGTTGCTTGATTTTCATGGAAAAACAGTCTTCCACAGCATAGGTCTATTTTACTCTTGCTGTTGTTTGCTTGGCCCTGTGTCCGTGTTTTCCAGAATGTTCTTTGTCAAAGATCAAATTATTTGCGTTAAATTGTGAGGAAGTTTGAGCGACAATAACTTCCCCAATTGCTCACTATCTGTGCTCAACACACATCTCTTTCAATAACTTCTGCTTATTACTGCTTATTCAAGCTTATGCTGGACAGCAAGCCTTTGAATAGAAACATAAACACCTGTTACTCTGGGGTTCTTTTGTTGGTGAATTTCTAAGCATGATTGCATCCTTTTTCCAAGCTGTGCTGATTTATTGTGAAAAATGACCGTCTAAGGAAGCATCTGGCAATCATCAGCCATAATGACAAGATAAAGTGCATCAACAAAAGCGAATAGCTTAAAACAGAGCCATTTGGAACTGTAATGGCCCTCTGCGTTCATGTTTTTGAATATTGTGATACCCATTTTATATAGAGTCACATCTGCTGCATTGGTAATTTCACGTAAAGATTTCTGGCTGGGTGAGGGTAATTTGACAGCTAAAGTCCCTTTAACTGTTTGTCAGCAGAGTTCTCCTGTTGACACAGAGCTTGATGTTTACTGTAAGGAGCTCTGTTGCCCACACAACAACGCAGGTATGAAGGGGGAAGAAGGGGAAGTATTGCAGCTGTCCCTGATGCTGCTTATTTGGTTAAAGCTTCAGGATCAATTTGGGCAAACAAACTCCTGACATCTGTAGTGGATGGTCAGACTGTCGTGGTGATTGTTTATTTGACCTTGACGGGGACGAAAAAGTAGCTGATAATGAGATTTTCCTATGTGTTGTTTTGTCCAAGTGAGACGCCCGATCCCGAAGATAGCCAGTACCATCACATAAGACTAATAAATATCTTCCTTACTAATGGCAAGTTCTGTACCTGCAAATATTTGCCACTCATTATGCTTCTACTTATTGGCTGATTGCCTGTGATTAATTGTTTGCTATATTGGTCATTAGGTGAAAAAACATTTACTACAAGAACGCAAATGAAACATTGTCATTTTTCAGTCACTCACTGTGGCAGATCATTTTAAGGGTGACTGAACAAAAGGTTAAACACACCCCTCATAAACATTTGTGTGAGGTGAGAGGTTATGTCCACGTTAAGTCCAGCTTCAGGTTTTTGTGTTTCAATATATATTGTGTGCTGTTTGGAAGTCTGAGAGTACATTGTGTTCTTCTTGAAGCAATTCATGTTCAGACTCTCTGTGTTCTTGCTCACCTTAACTGTATAGGCTGTTAGCAAGTTAAAGCAACCATAACTGCTTCGACCTTTTGTCTGTATCTGCAGCAATGCAACTCATCCGTGGAAGGCACCATTTACAAATACAGAGCAAAAACTCTAAATGGTAGTCAGACTGTGAACTTCAGTGACTATGCAGGCAAGGCTGTCCTCTTTGTCAACGTGGCTACATACTGAGGACTCACCAGTCAGTATGTGGGTAAGAGATGGTACAGGCAGCGTTGTTTTGTGCTGTAGTTAAAAAAGAAATAAAGAGGTGGGGGGAAAAGGTTTCTCCACCTGAACTCTTTTCTCTTCTTTCATCAGAACTGAATGCACTGTATGAGGAGATGAACCCAATTGGGTTAACTATTCTTGGCTTCCCCTGCAACCAGTTTGGAAAACAGGAACCAGGGCAAAGGCATGAAATCCTGCCAGGTTTAAAGTGAGAAATCTTTGTCTTTCACTGCACTTCAAGTCTGCCCCATAGAAAACACTGTTTAAAAAATACTCATGAATGAATTAGGGTCGATGAAGGTCATGGTTTTCCAGAGAACTCGATAGGATTTTGATGTGATAACATTAAATTCCCTAGTATTGAGTCACACGCTTATCGCAATATATATGTGCTGTAAGGTGAGAAGCTTTAAAGCAGCATGTAGACAGGAATGTGCAATAACGGTAAATCCTCTGTCAATCAACAAAACTTCATTAAAGCATGAAAGCATCTTTTGGCAGTTTCTGTTCGAGAGTCTCTGCAGCACACCCAGAACGTATGTCTCAGATTGCATCAGTCATCACAGATCCATAGCAAAGCCTTTGCAATACACTATGTGGCTTTACTCGGCTTGTAGGGAATCTAGGGCAGCTGCCAAGCAGCAAAGTACTCAGGGGCATGTCCACTGATAGGATGTCCTTTTTCTGGATTCCAGATACGTTAGGCCTGGCAATGGATTCGTTCCAAACTTCCTGCTGTTTGAGAAAGGTGATGTGAATGGGAAAAATGAGCAAGAGGTTTATACTTTCCTTAAGGTAAGAAACTGTGTGTGAAATTCAGTTGAGTCTTTGTAAGTTGAAACTTACATTTAAATTTTGTATTTTACATGTTATTAAACTATTTTTTTCCAAGTATATTATGAATGCTACTGTCTGCTCTCAATGCTTAGACTCTTTACATGTGTTTAGTTATATTCTGTGGGGAAAATAATTTGATACCCTGCTGAATTCATAAGCTTCCTAATTTTAGCATTTTCATTTTAACGGAGAAAGACAGAATATCAACCAACAAATCCAGAAAAAAACACATTAAATAAAAGCTGTACATTGATTTGCATATCATTGAGCGGATAAGTATTTTATCCATAAGTAAACCACGACTTACTACTTGGTTAAGGAACCTTGTTTGCCATGGTAAGCTGTTTCTTGTAGTTGGTCACTGGCTCATCTCAGGAGGGATTTTGGGCCACTCCGCTTTACAGATCCTTTAGGTTTCTTGGCTGCCGCTTGGTAACTTGGTTTTTATTGGAAATCAAATACTTATTTCATTCAATGACATGCAAATAAGTTTATAGCTGTTATGCAATGTGGTTTGTTTGGGTAGATATCAATGGAGACTGTCCCTCGTTATTAAAATGAAACCAAATTAGAGACTGTTCATTTGTTTGGAAGAGAGTAAACTTAGAAATTCAGCAGGGGATCAAATAATTACTTGCCCCACTGTATTTGAAACAGACTGGATGCACTAGATATAATTCATGCCTTCATGAGCATTTATAAAGGCAGAGAAAACATATGGCCCTGAGCGGTGTTCTTCTGAGTCTTACTTAAAAGTTCTTTGTGCCACGCAGAGCTCTTGCCCCGCTGTCGGAGAAGACTTTGGTCCCATGTACGGCCGGTTGTTCTGGGAGCCTCTAAAGATTAGTGACATCAAGTGGAACTTTGAGAAGTTTCTGGTGGGAATGGATGGGAAGCCAGTGATGAGGTGGCAACCGACCACCAAAGTTTCTGTGGTCCGAGCTGACATCCGGAGATACCTGCTCGAACAATACACAAGGGATGTCTTTAATTAGATGTGATCGATCATTTAGTGTTGTTTGTCTAATGAATTAAGTGTAATCAGATGCAAATGATTAGAACTAAGGTAGCCTGAAAACGAGTAATGTTACAGTTTCTTGTACCGTGAAGATGGCATGTTGAATGAAGAGGAGGCTTGAAAACAGGAACTCTGTGGTGCCTCTTTGGAATCTGGGGTTTAGGCCAGCCTTTCAGTGCATTCAGGCTGCCCTGCAATCCCACAGCACCATGTCATCTTCCCATCTCAGGACTTGTTAACCATTACTGTCTAAATGTTAATTACTTTCAATAAATCATCAAGAATAACACTGTTGTGCAGTTTTTTGAGAAACAAACATGAGTGTTGTGTCACAGAAAGGTAAAAACGATGTACTCTGTGGAACAAGACACGGTAAGATACTAATGAGACATTTAGAATAGATTTATTAAGCCAGTCAAATACAAAAAGTCTCACATGTGCTTTTTTCCTACAGCAAAAAAAAAAAGAGAAAAAAAGAAAAAAGGCTAAAAACCAGGAAAATACATCTGCCATAAATTACAGCATACCTTTCAAAGTGCAATTCTGTTAATGTCTCATCTCAGCTCTAGCCCATCCTGATTTTGTTCCCTGTTGATATCTTGCTAGATAAAAGTAAGCCATTTCAAACCTTTTTTTTTTTTTTGAAGCCCTTCATCTGACTAGTCAAAATACACTATACTAAGTAATTGTAACTGGCATTCAGTTTAAACAGGCAAGGCTTGTTGATTCGGAGATCAGATTTAACTTTTTCCTAATAGTGTGACCTGGAGATGTGGATCCGCTATCTGTTATTGCGACTTTGACTGCGTTAGAGCAGTTCACAGGTCAGTCGGCAAGGTGTGGGTTGCTGGTTGTTGAAGTGGATGGAAACAAAAAGTCGAGACATCCCGACAGAGGGTTTTATCCTCTGGGGTGGCTGTACTGCTGTAACTGGGTGTTTAACCACGGCCTACGAATTCTGATGAAAATCGTCCTCATTCTGCTCCTTGAGCCGAATTTGGATATTTTGTACTGGTAAGTACAACTCAGCGAGGTTATGTGACATAACAGGTATATGAGGACGCGGCTGCTGCCTTAAGATTTTGCTGCTGTAATCTCTTGGTACTGTGTTGGGGATATGCTGTGTGCAGTGGTACAGGATGCAGTGAGATGAGCATAAATATCGGAATGAGTGGTCAAATCAAGTCGAAGTGTTTAATGAGATTAGGTCCATCATCATGGGGGAGAAATAACCAAAAAAAAAAAAAAAAAAGATTGTGTATGTACTGCGTATTGTGTCTGATACAAACATACAATGTCAATAGCTACAATATATTGGGATTACACTAACAACATAGAAAGAACAGCATTACTAAAGACAATGATTTACACTTAGTCAATGCAACTATCAAAACAGCAGGTTATAAATAAATTATCAGTAATCACAATCATGTTTTTTTTTTTGTTTTTGTTTTTTTTGGTATGATACCATCAAAATTCATTTCCCAAAATTTTTGTATTTCAACAACTTTTGAACAGTTACACAGTTATGGGACAGTTCTATAACATCGATGGTACTGAAAACCCTCAAATCAATTAACATTCACATTGTAAGCTCTATGATTCAGTGTACCTATATAATCATTCATGGCTGGAATGAGTATATGTAGTCTTAGTCTTACTGGGGAATGGCTTCCTGTGACCCTACAAGTAACAAACTACTTGTTACATACTTGCAGATAGACAATCACATAGGTATATTGTCTGGAAAACAAAACAAAAAAATCTATGTTAATTACTCCAACCTATTTAACAAATGACTTAAAGTTGCCGATTTAAAAAAAAAAAAAAAAAAAAAAAATTAAACAATATTTCATGTGTATATTCAGAATAGCGTCACAAATAGCCTTATAAAACGCAAGTATAAACAACATTACAATAGGATATCTACAGTTCAGTAGGAAAATTATAGATCAAATCACACCTTGTCAACTCAAAAACAAACTGATTTCATGCTACTACCCAGGCTCCTTTTAAGTGGGTACGGTGATGCTTTAGTGCTTTCCAGGGTCAATGTTCTGTCGCTCCCTTTTTCCAAATCCTGTTCCAGGTGCTCCTGTCGCTGCTGCTGCTGCTGCCGCCGCTGACTGATCTACGGACACCAAAGTAACATGCACAACTAAATCATGTTTCAAAAGAATCATTGGTGATTTGCATGGACGGATAGTGCTGCTAATAGTCAGTATGAACATAAATAAGCCTTACCCCACTATAGTTTACACCTCTGAGCTGAAGAACTTTAAGCATAACTAATGACAAAATTTGGCTCATTGTTTTTCCACTACATTTTAAGAGTACATCTGTTTAAATACACACCATCATGTATTGTGCAATAGAAATAAACTACATATGACTGGTTGTATCTTACCTGCATTCTCTGGTGGTGGTCGTGAACTTTCTCCTACTGCTCTGGCCCCTCTCAACCCCCTCTCAGGTTGATTGAATGACAACTGCCAAGGAAAACCCTGATTTAAAAAAAAAACAAAAACAGAACAATTGTGTTCAAATTTCTATTCTTACTCGTCGCAATCAGCAGCCCTTAAGTCTTTGCCATAACCTAATATTGGTTATTGAATGTAAGCGTGCTGCCCCCAGCAAGTAAGGGAAGTAGAGGTAAGAGAGAAATTGAAAAGAAAAAAAAAGAAAGCCTTGTTTCTTCAGTGAACCAGAGTCACTCCAGAGACAAAGACAGAGGGGCTTTAGAGCGCCCTTACCGGGGTAACGGGTTGGAAGTCTCGTACAGGGGGTGGTGCTGCGGCGGCTGCGGCTGCGGCACCTGCTGCATTGGGCATCCGGGGAGGGAAGTGTATGGGCCAACCTTCAAGGCCCTGCGGTCCCACCTGCACAAAGGGACCACAGTAGGGAGGGCTCAGCGGGCCGTTCACTGAGTCTGACGTGGGGTCTGAGGTACGTCTTTCCTGCTGCTGCCCCTACGAGGGATCACAAGTACACATGTGATCCCCAATCAGTGCTTTGTGGCTACTCTCAGCGAATGCAGCGGCCCTGTTGTGGCACGGGACGCTGCTGACCTTCAACCCTGCTGCGGTTTTGCCTCCCACTGAGGCGTGTCAGTGTTCACCTCGCTGCTCCCAAATGCACTGACCGAAACAAGCTAGCTGCAGTGAGGCTCTTGTGATTCGTTCGGCATGAACCTACTACAGTCAAGTCAATCTAGTCTTCCACCATTCTGTCACTAGGGGGCACTAGCCTGCAAGCCTATTGGCACTTTCTTTTCAGGAGCCACACTGAAGAAATATTTCACCTACTCAGTGTGACAGCGCCCTTTAATCCACCATTTCAGTGTATATGTAACACTAGCAGTACCTGTTTGTGATGCTGCATCTGCAGTCTCTCCAGCTTACATCTCTCTGTACGCTCTCTCTGACACTCGTTCTGCGCCTGATGAAGCTGCGCCACACCAACAAGTACACAACAAGAAAAATAAAGCACCTCATATTAGGGCAGGTCAGCTAGAATAGCCACTAGCAGAAAAATTATACAAAAGCTAAAGCTTTCCTGGTCACATTATATACAGGGGGGAAAAAATATGTTACATGAGCACGATCTTACCTGATTGGTCAAATTAGTAATCTGACCCTGAAGTCTTTCAACTTGCCGCCTCAAGTCCTCTTTCTCTTCATTCATTCGCTCCCTGTCGCTCCTTTCTTTTCTGAAGTCCTCCTCAAAGATTTTTACCTGAAGTGCAAAGAAAGAAAAAGCAGCTGAAGGGAAATCCACACGTAACTGCAGGAGTGTGTGTAAATGTTCTGTTTATCTGACCTGTTCTTTAAGTACAGCAATTTGAGTGAGCAGCTCCTGTTTCTTAAAGTTGTTGGCCGCATCTGCAAAGTTGCCCTGGCCAGGAGGTTGTTGGGAGGATGAAGGTGAGTGTAGGTTTAAGGCTTCTTCTAAAGCCTGAATAAGACAAAAATCAATGTTACCCTGACAGAAACGTCCCTGCGCCCGATTACTCTTTTTGCATCTCTTCCACACTCACTCGGTTGAGGCGTTGGATCTCCTTCTCTTGGTACTCTCTCTGTTTGCTGAGGGGCACCAGCTGATCCTGCAAGTAGCGGATCTTCTGCTTCAGCTCGGCCGTCTCAGTGTTTAAACACTCCTTCTCCCCCTGGAACGAACGCGCACACACCCCATGGCTTTAAAAACACCTGTTCCACAGTCACTCTGTGCCCTGCTTTCGTTTAGACCTGTTTCACCTGGCCTTTTTCACATCTGTATTCTCACCTGGACATTTTCAATCTTGGACTTGGCCAGCAGCAGCTTCTTGTCATAGTCACGTTGCCTCTGCTCCCGCTCAGCCTCCAGCTCAAGCACAGTTTTCTGTGACTCTGCTAGCCGTTGTCTGAGGTCTGTGATCTGAGGAAAAGTGGCAATCTTTTAGTTTAGGAAATGATCACACTGTTAAAGATCCATTTTTTTTTAAATAAATTGCCATAAAGTGCCTAATAATAAATAAAACCGATTAAGTAATAACCCTCCGGTATTAGCTTCAGAAATGTTATCTAAATAGAAAACTAAGCCATCAAATTCGCAAACACGCACTGCTGTTTTTGTGTAACATATGAACGAACCGAGTGACGCAAATGGATATATCTAGGGTTCTGTGGTTATAACCCAAAGCTGCACGGTGTCCCTGTCTGAACGAAGTGTGAATGTAGGTTTATACATAATTGTGGGTGTGCACAACATAGGTGTGTGAGTGTCAGTGTGAGAGTGTGTACGTCTGTGTGTCTCTGCTGCCCTCTGACTGCACCACAGCAGGAAGTCAGCGGGTACCGGAGAGGTAAGGGGAATTCTTACTGAAGTGTGACAGGCCTTGTGGTAAGCATGTTCAGATCGCAAGCTATTGCAAGATTGCACCTTTTCCACTGGACAAGCACATTTAAAAAAAAAAAAAAAAAAAAAAAAGAAAGAAAGAACTAGACACATACACAGCTGCTTCTCTGTCAAGTCATAAACACAAACTTCAAAGTCCTGTTTGTTAAAGTTTTTTTCAAATTATAAAATGCTTTCCATCTGTCACTTCACCCATCACAGGTTTTTTTTTGCTTGTTTTTCTGTTAAATCACGATATTTTACCTAATTAATGTCACGATGCTCAGTGATCAGTAATATTTTTTCTTAGTTTGGCAAAACACTTGAAACTAACTTCAACCATCACTTGGAAAAAATGTTGCTACAGACACCAGAAGCAACTTTAATTCATAAAATAAGTAATTAAGACAATATTTGAACCCCGCAGGTAACTAACCTTAGCTTCTTTATATGCTGAAATGAATACAGTGGAACTCTTTAGTTAAGTTTCAGCTTTTCATAGCATGTAATCCATTTTACACACAGATCACTGAGTGTGGTGTTATGGAGAGACACCCAATGAAATTTGTATCTCACTTGTACTGACACTTGTTAAAATCACTCATACTGGGTACAAGTGATTTACTTTAAGTCCAACAGAGCATTTAACATCTCTTTGAACTAAATTGGACCAAACAGAGCTAACTGATGCAGGTGATTCAATATTTTGAAAATGTTAAAAGAAAAAAAAAAAAAAGAAAGAAAAAAGAAAGGCCTGAAATTGAAAAAAAAAAAATTGAAAAAAGAAAAGAAACCTAAAAAAATTGAAAATTCTTTTAAGCAGTCAAGAGCACCGTAACGCCTTCCCACACCCGTCACAGCAGCTGTAAAGTCATTACTGTACCTTCTGCTCAAACTGTGACTTCATGGCGTTCCACTGAATGTCCCACTGCTTGTTCACCTCCAGCACCTGTAAGAAGCCAGAAAGCGAAACAAACACCACTGAACATGTAGGAAACAAAATACACAGACTTTCCCCTATGGCAAAAGAGGATGAGCAGTAAGTAAGAAAGTAAGCAAGCAAGACTCACATCCTTTCTCTGCTTCTCCAAAAGCTTGATCTTCTTTTCATACACCTCGACATCACAAGGTTTAGTTGGGGTTTTCTCTGCAGCTTTTCCACTCTGGGGGGTTGGGGGAACATAAAATATTCCTAAATCCACAACATTACTACATTACGCACGTTGTAAGAGGTCACGAGTGGGGAATTCTCAGTCACAAGATTATTGAGAATAATTTAATTAAAGGTCTTTAAAAAGAACACAGATTAAAAACCGGTTTAGGTAATAAAAAAAAAACTTTATAGAAATGTTTTAAATATGAAGCTACAGCAAATAATGTATGTATACAAATTTAAATAAATCAATTTTAATTAAACTGAAACTACCTTCTGCGGTGTGGTGGCCTCCATTTTGGGTCGGACAGCCGCAGATTCCTCCTTCACCGGCTCCTCTTTGGCCTCTGGAGTTTCAGCGTCAGGTGGCAACGCAGATGCTGCCGCTGCTGCTGCCGCTCCTGTGACCAACTCCTTAAGTTTCTGATTTTCCTGTCTACACCGGCATGAAAATGAAAATGATAGTGTTTGAGAACTAGGTCTCATTCTAAGACATGGCCGTCATCATGCTCCAGCTACTGGAGGCCTTCTGGGAAGAACCTACAACACCAGAAAGCCCTGGAGTAATCCCCTTCAGAAGTGAAAGCGCACTGAATTGTTAACATCAAGGGCAAAGTAAAGATTAGGCGATAAATATTTTATTAACAGTAATGAGAATTTGACTCGACATAAAATCAAACGATAAGAAGCAAAACAGTCCCACAAAAAGTTAAAAAACAGATCAGAAGAAAAGAGAACAAGATGTCAGAGCGATAGTATTGTTTTATTTGTAGCACAGTCACATCAAAAGGAGAAACATTACCTCAGCTGTTCCAAGTCTCGATTCCTGATATGATGATCCTCTTCCATTTTCTTTCGAAGCTCATTGTTCTCTTGTCTGAGCTGCTCGCAGAGAGTCTATAAAGCCAAGAGAGGACAATATTAAACACCGTTCTGACATTTTCTTATTATCTGTACTCAATCACATATCCAGAAATGCCATCAACCCAGTGGCACAAAGATAAACTTATGTTGAGTTTTAAATTATGTCGGAATGCAAGTCACGTGTAATAATCTAACAGATAAGGAAATGCCATCTGTTTTATCTGATAAATCAAGCTTTAGTTTCCTATTTTCATCCCATTAAATAACACTTTTGTTGCCCACAGGGTTTTGAGGAAAAATTAATGTTCCATGTAGTGAAAGTAGTGAGACTTTAAAAATATTTTATTGAATGTTTTAGAGGTTCTACACAGAGCACCAACTACGTGCAGCTTTAGTTTTTTTTTTTTTTTTTAAGTTATTGAGTCTCCAGAATACTTGTTCTACCACAAAACACACTTAAATTACTCTTCAAGTTCTGAAACCACATCCGTCCGAACGAAGTATTATTGCATCTGTAGTTTTACTCTCGCGACCCGTCAAATCTCACACAAAAATGCTTTTAAAGTCATCAAGTTATGCCGAGCGTGCCGTAGCAGTAGTATTTAGCGTGATAGTTTCGAGTTGCTATAACAAAATTCAGATTTTATATTTTTCTTTAACATGACTGATCATTGTATATACACTTGGTATGCTCTTGCACTATTACAACACTTATAAATCACTATTTATAATAAGCACTGTGGTGATTTGTCACATTTTTTTAGTTTTATGACACAGTAGTTGTGCGCAATACCTGTAGGAGGGAGGTCCTCTGTTCATTCTTTTGGACTTTCGAAGAAAGATGATGAAACTCCACAGCCATGCGGCCAAGGTGCGCTAACAGCTGGTTTGGGTTGGACTCCTCAGCAAATATGCTGAATGAGCTCTCAAGCCTCTTCAGCTGGCTTGCTAGCTCGATGTTCTCCTGAGGAAGGAGGGGAATTACTCCTACTGCTGACCCGGCCTGAAGATACCCACACAAGTAACCAGTCAGTCACCTGTTCTTCTCAAGCTGACTCAGTGAGCGTGTTCTCAATTACATCTCAATTATTTAAAACACCATTCTGTAAGAGTCATCGTTCTCTATGAAAGGGAGCAGCCGATTTGTATCAAAGGCAAACTAGTTGGTCCTGTTGGGTTTATTTTTACTCTCCACAGACTACAATTAGCTTTTCTACTTTCGCCAACATATATTTTAGATAGCAAGGTTGGCTAAATTTGTTAGAATATGTGACAGGCTGGCCACTAGCATAGGTTTTAACATGTTCACCTCAACACTGGCCTCGTGTCCTGTTAACACATCCCCTGGGATTTAGTATGTGAATGAATCAGCGGTGTAATTCTAGGCAGTGACAATCCTGGACTTTCCCCTGACTGACTCAGGCTGGAGCTACCAGTATTGAGTTTTTTGGTGAGTCAACACACCAAGGATGTATGTCCAATATTGAGGAAATGGCTATAAAGAGGAATGATTAAATTTAACCTCACTAAACCGAAACCTATACGAAATAATATCCTTTTAAAGGGTAAAGAATAAATGCTAAAAATAACCATATGATTCAAATAGATTTGAGCTATTCATCTGGTACGTACTGTCAATGCCTCTGAAGTCTTTCCCTCCATATTCACCACCTCAAACTCTGAAATGGCATCCTATAAAAAAATATACACACACACACAACTCGAACATGATCCCAAAAAACAACGACGAAGTGAACATTCTCCAGTCGGACGTTATATTTTAGGCCCTGATAATGCCTACATCTAGTCTTAAAATAATAACAGGGTCATTTCTACCTGAACAGAAAGCAGAAACAAATTATTTACATTGGGCTTCTCTGGCTGAAGAGTCTTTCCTAAACAGCTCGATTGCTCCTCCTTCTGCTCAGCTGTGGTATGTAAACAGGGTTTATTACCTGAAATACACCAAATGAATATTAATGGTAACAATCAGCCAAATGCTGGCCACACTGTGTAATAATCCAAAAATGTGAAGAAAAGTCTTCTTCGTTGCCTTTAAGTATGTGAAACCTACTTTGTGTCTCAGTTTGAATGGGCCCTCCCATACACAAACTGGCTGCGAAGCTGGACGATTTCAGGGCTTCGTTGTCTCTCACAAGTTCCTCCACTCGCTGTCGAAGCCTCGACGCCTCTGACTGAGACTCTTCCAGCAAATCACCTGCAGGTATTGGAGAGAGCTCGTCTCTATCTAGTAACACCTTCACTTAATCTTGCTTTGTTTCTACTGGCAAACCCTGTTGTCACTAAAAATATCAGCACAACAGCAAACAACGTGTGACAGAAACTCTGTGAGAAAGTAAGGACTCGTTTAGTTAGTCACTGAGCCATTCACGTTGTTAGCATGTGAGTTTTTAACTGGATGACCAAAGCAGATTTTCAGGTTTCACTACATTTCACCACAATTGCTGAATGACACTTTAGGATTTTGTTTTGACTACAAACAGATATGATGCTACAACATCACATGTTGTCTTTGTGCCTATGTCAAATTTGTTTTAAATAACAAATGTGTTATTTAAAATGTCTGTTCAACTTTCTGCTGCTACAGAATTCAAGCTGAACAATCTCAACTTTCTGTGTAGAAAATTTTGGAAAAAACTTTATGAGCTTCCACTGTGACCAAGAAGCACATGGTAACTCGGCGCTCTAACATCAGCAAAAGAAAGCCACCATCGAAGTTGGAAATCCAGTGGTATTACGGACATAATGAGCCAAAAAGAGCAGTCTAACTGAAGTAGATGTTCCATCTTACTGAGCTGAGGATGAAGATCGTGACCAAATTAAAGGTAGACTCGAAACAAAGGACACAACTCCCCTCAGTCACTGACAAAATCCCATCACAGGAGATACTTGTAGGTGTGAACACAGGTCTACCTCTAGCTCTCCCGACTACCAATAGCACTAAAACCAATGAGCTTATATATGTCACTGCCACAATAATAAAAATATTGATCTACTTTTAGTCCAAGTAGGCTGGAGAAATAATGGAAGAACACCTGGGAGGAAGAAACGACACAACACCAAAGCCAAGTGGCTGGTGGATCTATGAGCACCAGCCTCACAGAAAAAGTGCCAATCAAGATCACAAAGGCAGACATCCAGCAACGAGCCTCAAGAATGAAGAGCTAGACAGCACCAAGACCTAAAATAATTGAAGATGATAGATGAAGAAGCTAACACACCATGGACACCTGGCAGCACAAATAAAAGGGACTGCTAACAGCAGGTATTCCTCCGCACTGGATAACAAAGGCCAGAACAATCTGAGCATGAAGGATCCCCCACAAGGGTACAACACCATCAAACTACAAGCCAGCCAATTACCTGCTTCCCCTTAACATGGAAGATCAACTCAGGGTCTCATGAACTAGGCTGAGTGGCCACATGAGTCAATATATGACACATGCAGATCAGAAGAGCACTGGAAATAACAGCACTGAGTCCAAGTACCCACGTTGAAGGCTGTGCAAAGGAGCCCCGGAGACTATGTAGTGCATTGTCGACACAATCAAGAGGCTGGGATAGTGTACAGGAACATCTGTGCTACATATGGAATAAAAAGCCACACTTCTTGATGGGAGATACAGCCAAGGATGGGTGAGAACAACAAGCCTAAGGTCCTACGGGACTTCAAGTTCTAGACAGTCGTGTGGCTGCTAACCATAGTGGTGGATGACAAAGAGCAGAAAAAGCCTCGTCTATCACAATGCAGCAGTGATAGACGTGGTAATCCCAGTGGTGAGCACAATCTGAAAGCGAGTTCACAAGAAAACAAAAAAGTACCAGTGGCTGAAAGAAAAACTGGAGCAGTGTGGTAACAGGAGCATTAGGAGCTGTAACCCCAAGACTGGAAGAATGGCTCCAGCAGATTCCAGGCACAATGTCAGAGGTCGCTGTCCAGAGGAGTGCAATCCTAGATACTGCACAGAACTCTCAAACTTCCAAGCCTCTGGTAAAGGATCACCACACCCCCAGGAGTTGAAAAGGACTGACACACAAACAGACGCACACGGCCTTAACTTCAACTTGAGATAACTAGTCTTTAGAAACATACCTAAGCTCTTAAGTCCCTTCATCCGTTCTCTCAGCATGCTGTTCTCCTCCAGCAGCTGCCGATAGCTGCTCCCTCCTCCAGCCTCATCCCTGGCCTTGACCTCACTCCCACCCGGATCATAGATGCGGTACGGTCCTTTCCCCTCCATTGCAGTTGCTCACTTCCTACACATCGTCCTCTGAACTGTGGAAAGAAGACACAAACTGGTATTTTTAACTTAACAAAAATATCAGAAGCTACGCAGCAGGAGACACAAGAACACACAGAAGAAGTCAGGAGTAGCTGACCTTTACAGAAAACAAAGAGTTTTCTAACAGGCTGAAAAAGTAAACAACTGGAAAAAGAAATCTTGGCAATTTTTACATTGTGAGGTTATATTTAAGTTCCGACTTAAAATTGTGTCAGTGACATAGGTGATTTGAAAGTATAACAGGTACAACACAAGATCACCAAATACGCTCGTACTCTCTCTCAAAGTTGAACACTTGAACATAAGATAAAGTTTTATAACAGGAGCTCGAAAGTAAAAGCAAATATGCTCAAATGACATTAATACCACCCGCTTTTTGTTTTATACTATACAGCGTGACACTAACGACCTGTTTCTAAGTTATCATTTCTAACAGGACGACTGTAGACTATGAACGAAACGTTGGACGGAAAATAAAAATCCGACGACGACTTTAAGAGGACAAATGCTGTACTATGAACCCTGACAGAGTCGGACATATGGCAAAAATGTGTTAGCTATGGTGATGGCATAATATGACAACTACAACGTTCTTATCCTGGGAAAAAGGGAACAAAAGCAGAGCAAAAAAATAACAAAACAAAACAAAATGTAATGCAAATCCAAGTAACACACATCTATCCAGGAGACCAGGCTCAAATACACCACAATCTAGCAAATGACAGCTACCTTGATTGGCTGAAGAAAGCTAATATTAGTTTTCGCTGTTGTCATGCAAATTGCTAGCAACATCCTCGTTAGCTGTCGGCTAGCTAACACTAGATGACTGTGCGGGAAACGAAGGTGCTAAACTCCCCTTATTTTTCCTCTACAGAGACTGTAATCGATTCGGTAAATCGCTGGAAACGCGGAGATAAACGCCAAGCCAAAACAACAAAGAGGTGGCTTTTTTTGCTCGGTACCTTTCAGCTCGCAGTGGCCTCTCGTCTGCCCAGACATGTATTGCGGAAGTGGTCTACTGAGTCTATGCTGTAACCTGGGAAATTCCACCTCGCAACGTTTGGTAAACAGCGATGATTGACAGCAACGTGGCCAATCGCAGCTCGGCTCTATCAGAGGGGCACCAACAGGAGCAGCTGACCTTAATGTAAACACTGGAGCAAACGCTCTACATGTATTCTAACCGTGGCGGTATTACCAGAATTGCCAAACCTGTTCACATGATCTACTTTTAGGCACCAATATCCATATATGGCAAAATAGTGAATGATGCAATAATTCGATGGTAAGTAAGACTCATAATAATAATAATAATAATTTTTAAATCCCCTATATTTTCTCTTGAATTTTAATCATTTTAATTATATTTCGTATTAACATTATTATTGTTTTTACTGTGTACTCACTGAACCCCGACTACCACTCCCATCCCCCCAAAGTCATGAGACAAACCCCGACCTTTTTCACTCAGTGACTTTTTTCCCTCATTGATAAATTCAGAGATGGAGCTGGTGGGGGTTTCTGTGATTGCATCACATATTTCCTCTGAACTGAGAGGGCAATACGTTTTAGTTCGAGTTACGCAGATTTTTTTTTTTAAGCTGAACTAAATTATTGTTAAGAGATGTGTAATGATGAGTTTAGAGCTGGAAGAAAGCTTGTTATTCCATCCACATTTTTATGCAAATGAAACACTGGATAAATTAAACATTTGTTTACATTTTTAAAAAAATGAGCACATCGTAAATGTGGTTAAAAAAAATACATTTTAAAAAAGTAGTTTCCTGAAAAACGTCCAAACACACTGTGTTTTGTCTATTTCCTGATTAACTATCTAGTTGATCAAGAAATTGATTAGTTTTAACTGTGATATAACAAATAAAATGAAGATGAACTATATGTTTTATAAATAAGTTGAATAACTGACTTTTATGTTTTTTGAGCTTGTTTAAGAGTTCAGCCTGTGAGATGTGAATATTACAGTAGTTATATTCTTTTTTTTCCAGTCCATTAATATGAGGTATTAAGAGTGCACACTGTACCTATAACATAATCAACCCCAAATATTAGTTTTTTCAGTGCTGACCTAACTCTTTTTAATTAACCGTCCACTTCAGTTATATCTGTGTTGTCCCAGGAAAGGAGGAACACCCATATATTGTTAGACAAGGAAAACGTGTACAGTGCAAAATTAACAGACTCATCATTTATTGGATGGAACTTTTACTTAAAACCGTGTTTCTCACACATTGCTCACTGTATTTGACCAGAACTGTCCCAATTTTATTGAAGACCCCCCCAAGAAGGCTAAACTTAATCACTTGGAGCAATAGTGACATCTTGTGGGAATTAACGAACAGATAATCTGCGGTTATGTTTCTTCCTCAGGGAGTAATTTACGTTGTTCCTCTGGTAGCTGGAAACACAAAGTGTGATACTTGATCATTCAGCTTGTGGCTACACACAATCACACTGAACCACACAAGGATATTCCCGGCTAAGAAGCCTCCTGCGTAATTTGTAATAAAAATCTTACACAAATAACAAGTAAAACTGCCATACATGACATAATTTATAGCAAACCTCATCTAATCTTATACTTGTGTTTAGCTTTTCTATTATTGTTACTTCCTGTCATGTAAAAACTCTACTGGTGTGTTACTGACTTAGTGTTAAAACTGCTTTAACAGAGAAATCAGCTTGACTTTCAATAGAATTTCCTTTTACTCATTGATGTCTTTGACTTAACTTCTCTGACAGAAAATCTTACTGTAAAGAAAGAGAATAAGTGAGAAAACAAGAGACAGTGGGTGGACAGCATGTGATTTAAGACAACACGCCTTATTTGAAAATCCTTTCACAAATCAGCTATAAATGCCCTTTTCAAGTCAAGTGAAAAATCACATGCTTCAACTAAAGCCACGTACAACAATGAAACAATAGGCATACGCACATATGCACACACAAAGGGTATCTATCCCTTTGGCCATAAAAGTCTGGTAAAAATGTGTGACTGTGGTCCCCAGAGAGCCATTTAGTGTCTACAGGAAAAAGCAACAGCACAGCTCATGTGGCTGTCACACACACAGAAGTTGTTTTTTCCTCATTCCTGTGCCTGCCAACATTTACATTGCCCATATTTTTTTTGGTGCAAAGTGTTTCCACTTCGGGCTGCTGTGATGTGCAGAAATGATAAACAGGCTGATGACTCTGAGACTGCCAGAAGAAAACAAAAACTACAGGCCTGAGGATACAGGAAATGTCACCCATCATTCAGTCTTGCTGGGTGACAAACTGCACACTTTTTCTTATGCTCCCACCAACATTTGACAATATTTTAAAGCACTGCACAAAGCTAGCAGAATGAACACATGGTATGTTTGTTTGTTTGTTTTTTAAATGAGCAATCCTCAAATTTGAGCCCTTCTCTAAACCCTTTTTGTCTGTAGCACAGAGTAGGCACCTCACCCTGCTGAGACAGGGACGCTTTCTCATCTCCCAGCAGTGGAAATTAGCAGCTGATAGTCATTAGTTCTGTGCTACTTAATACAAAAAGTCCTTTTGTTAGCCGAGTAGTGACCAGCCATCGTTCTCGAGGCATTAAATCAGGGACATTATTGCTGCTGAGACTCTATCGCAATGCAAAAAAACCTCAAAAATTGGGCTACATATCACTGGCAACAGATACAAATGTATTTTAACATTTTACAGGTTACTTACATCAATTTTAGTTAAAAAAAAAAGTTGTAGACTTTATAAAATCCAAGACTTTGTATTAGCTTGACAAATACAGTTCGTCTAGGCCTGTGTGTAATAGATACTAACAGATTTTTTTATGATAGTGAGTAAATCAGTTTTAAAGTATAATTTGAGTTCTTTTATCTTCAGTTTTTATAATCCACAACGTATTGAAAACTGTTTTTAAATGGAAAAAACAAACGCAAAACAAGTTTTGAGAGTAATGATAATATACACTGTGGTCAGTATATACAACAGATTTTTATACAATATTTATCACAAATCTCTTCTTTTCTAGCGTGATGCATGTTTTCACTGTTCCATTTGCCCAAAACATTCTGTTGCAAACAAAGGGCAGCCTATAACTGAGAACAAAAACTGACCCACCCAAAACTATATTTTAAAAAAATCACATATCTATAAATATTCACACATCTAAAATATTCTTTACTTACATTTCAAATGTTAAAACAAATAAACAACAACTCACCCACACATTTAGCTCGTATCGGAGAGGCACTTTTTAAGGAAACTGGTGAATTGGGGGAAGCGATTTTACTGTGAGACTTGGGGAATTCCCATAACCCATAAAATGGCCTGATACTGAAGGCTCAGAACCTGGTGTGTGTCCAACTGTTTGGCCTGCCTTTGCCAACATGAATGGAAAGCTGTATACATTTAAATCGTTTATGTGCAGCAGCTTGCAGTTTGCAGCACATGCACGTGCTTCATATAAGGATGCATGGCAAAAAACCTACAATACTGAATGATACAAAAGAGCCACTGGGCACATAATGTGACAAGTATAACAGAGAAAAATGCAAAGACAACTTATTCTAGTGTGTATGCACAGTGTGGTAGGCCTACATGCAGAACAGTGCTTGGCTTGTTTGCATGAAGGAACCACAGTTATGAAAACTATAACAACATGAAGTCAACGGCTAAAGCAATATCTTCGACTCCCTCTGAGAACTGAGCACCTTTGAAATATGTAAACTTGAATCTGTTTAATTTATGCAGTACGAGCTCATCGTTGCTACAGCAAAAAAAAAAAAAAAAAATCCCCCGTTATCAAAAGGGAAATTCAAGAACAGTGTATGTATTGACATTAACAAAGTGTTATTGCAGTAATCTCTTAATCTCCTGTAATTATGATCAAATAGAGCAATTTCAAGTTGGGTGTGCCACTGAGAGCAGCAAGAGCTGCAGACTCTTATTTGTTGCCTTGGATTTGGCGTACTGCAGGGGATTTCCTCGCCACATACATCTTTTTTTTCTTCTTTCCTCTTTTAACTTGCAGTGGCCCGACAACAGCTGCGCTCACACATATGCAATGAGCTGAAACACTAACAAGAAAAAGACAGCTGTCTTGCACTTTTCCTCTGCATTAACAAGTGTACAAGTGCAACTGACACACGTGAAATGAAGCATAAAGTGACGTGTTAATACGCGCAAATGTGGAAGAGCTAATATGAGCGTGTTAACTATCTATTAGCTGCTATTCAATATCTCAAATCTGCTATTCTGGCATTGTCAGCCTTTATTTACATTAGTTCTCTTTTATGAGTAACAATAACATATGGGTATTTTTGCTAAGCAGAAGAGGTATTAAAATGGAAGGGGGGTTTCCTGATCTTAAATATTCTAGTTCCCATTTTGCTCACCTCTGTACTGTTGCCAGTATCAACATGGTTAATTATTAAAGTGCCTTGTCAAATACAGGAACCCACGTCATAAAAAAGGTACAGCAAGAGAATGTGTGGTCTGATGAGACAAATTAAAAACTGTAATAACAACATGTAGTAAAAAACAGAAGAGACAACTGTTTTCAATTGTGTATTTTTTTTATTCAGGTGTGTGTGTTACCTTCAAATCACAGTATTTGTTGGATGGCCTATAAATTAAAGGTTCTGCTTTAGTACCTACTTGTTAAATACACTACAGATGCGAACATGATCATCTTCATCGTGAGCGTATAACACTGTAAAAAAAAAAAAGGACCGTCTCATCCTGCTGGACAGGAAGTTGAGACATGAGAGCAGAAAACTGGCTTGCAAGGCTGCGAGGTCATAGGTCACTTGATTTGGCTGAAGAGTGGCAGCGGTTACACTGAGAAAAGATGCTGACGTGAACCATCACAGTTTCACTCTGTCAACAGTCTTGTGGTCACTAAAGTCTGTGAACTGAGCTGCAGCGGGGCTATAACTGC